CGGCGAATCTAATTAAACAAGACAAGAAGCTTCATTAAGGAAACAAAAGGAATCATCGAATATACAAATTAGGGCTTAGATATTTCACGTAGGAACCTACTTTGTGTGGTCAGTATTGCGCGTGCTATCTGTTTGTTCATTGCCCACAGCTTGCAGTTAGTGTACAAGGCATAAAAATTCACGTAACTCCATCCTCTTGTGTGTTATTGAAGTATCGGAAGTGAAAGGAGGCCCCGGGAAAGACCTCGCGCCTGGGGAGACAGTCGGTCCGCGTCATTCAGATTAGGCTGAAAGCTGATTACAGTTCCGGACGGATGGGCGAGAAAGGGTTGGGATGATGTGGGGAATTTTGCAAGCGCTTTAAATTAGAAAGAAGGGTTTAATATGCGTTATAGATGATCAGTTCACCAAGTGCGCATAACGAAGGGGAAGAAATATCCTGGACTTTTACTCTTTGATACAGCATGAGAAACCATATTGCAAGAGGATCATCTTGGTAACTCAAAAACCTGATGGACCCTAACCCAAATAACCATAACATGTAGTTATTTGTTGTTTTATTAATTTTGTTATTTTACTGACAATAATATTACTGTTATTTTTTAATCTTGGCCGAGACATAGTTCAGGTGGCCATACGACTTCTCCGAGAATATCGAAGTTTCAGCATCTTAACTGGAACATTACACCATGGCGTTTGTTTTTATTCAAGAATTGCAATTTTTTTAGACCTCGGTGTAAAAGATCACGTTTCACGACGATGCATTAGGCCGACAACATAAAATGTCTATAACGTTTTAAAAATTCGTTGGTAACTGGTTTTTAATTTATATTATTTTTAGTCCAAGATGAATATTAGATTATTAATGCGGCTCACATGTGTGTAGTCAAACAAATTCATGTTTATTAACAAAATACAAGCGTGTTATAGCACAAAGTTAATATAAATATATTTGAAAGTGCATGTTCCTACAAGGGAGTGCACTATTTTCATTTGGTGATTGTGTGCCTTTAGTCATCTTTGAAATATTAATCATTTTCATTGATTTTCTTTGTATAGGATGTCATTTGCCGTTTATTCAAAATCCATCCGCTGAAAAGAATCAATCCGAACAAAAAATAAATAAAGACTGAAATTTCCTTTAGAGGCTCTCACCAATCAGGTTTCAATGGACTTAATATTCAAGACAAATTTAGGAGCTACTGCTTTCGAATATCGGCAGGATTTCCCGCTATCCTGATTTAGAGTTTTCGTGATTTTCCTCGATTTTAAATTCCAAGGTAATACCTTATGGAAATGATGAAATTCTCAATTCAGGATAGCCGGTATACGGCCAGTAGTGGAACTCGAAATAGAAAACAACCGACTAATTTAAAATTCCTACTAACTTACTCTACATTATCATGTTTCCTTCTTATTCATGCTACACGTACGTGACGTTTGCCATAGTGAAAATATCGTTTAGTATGAATCCACATAAGCTCGCCATACTCGCCTAATAAATCGATTTCTCAGTAGTTTATGTCGATCTCTCATGTACGAGAGCTTAAATTCACGTACGTACGTACGTCAGACAAGGGTACATCCTCGCATCTTGACACAATGTGTTGTCATAGTTCAAACACAGATTATTTCAGCCAAAGTTTTGTTTGAAAATCCCCTGTGGAACCCAAAAAAACAGAAGATTATAACGTACTCAGTACATGAGGTAAGCGTTCAACAAATTTTCTCTTGTCCTTTCCCAATCATCCCCAACAAAAAAATCTCCCCACCCCCCAGTATCTATTGTAAGAGTAACTTGATGTGATGTGTGGTTTACTTCTACTATTGTTGAATCGCCCTCATTCGTGAGGGTTTGCTGGGGGTGCTAACTGAACAATGGGCTCATGATGGGTAAGGGGTAGACCCTGATTCAGTTCACATTCGAGTAACAATATGGTATCAAAACCAGGGCACGTGGCATCCCTTCCCATTTGCAATGATGTTATCCACACCTTTACCCAAATTATAAGGTAAATTTAATAGACTTTGTGGCAGAGAGGGAATCCATAGTACAGACAAGTTATTTTGAAGCAGGGTATAACTCTGCGTGTTTCACCTCTCTCTCTCTCTCTCTTTTTTTTTTTTTTTTTTTTTTTTTCATTTGTCTCGAATCAGAAGCAAGGACGTTTCTCTTGGGTGAAACATTTCGTTTTATATAGAGCCGACTGTTGGGAGTAATTCTAAACTATTGAACCCGATCGACAGATCTATGAAGAAATCTATGTGATCTTGAAGCGTATGTAGACAGAGGTGGAAATAGAATATATTCCGGTGTTACAATATCGTTCATAGAAATATTTACGTATGCTCTTCGGGGGGAATAATATAAAAAGTATTCCTAGTGCTGGTGGCTTGGTGATTTAATAAATATGAAGTCAGCTCCATACTCCGGCAGTATTTATCCCAACACGATCACTGCGCTGATATTATCGACGGTGAGGAATTAAAAAGTACAAAGTTGAGATATTTTTCGATGGAATGACGACCACACTGAACTTCGAATATGGCTGTCTTCTGAAGAAAGCCATCTTCGTACTCACAGCCGTGAAAATCTCAACGCCATACTAAACTTTATTTAAATACGTCAATTTTAATATGTTATGAGCGTAAGGGATAATAAAGAAGAATGGACAGGATGCCTCTGTTTTCCTTATAAAGTTGGGGAAAGGCGAAGAATAATTACTCGTGTTGTAAGTTTATACAATATCGTGGTTTTATTCGGTAGCACAGCGTACCAACACACAAACATATGAATTCGTAAAAAATATATTTAAAATAGAGATCAGGATATTCAGTTATAGACCGAGAGAGAACACGGAGAATTACTTTGCTAATTGCAATGTCTTCTGAGGTTAAAACTAATTACAGATAAATCGTTTTCATTATGTAAACTGGATTGAAGTCTGGGATTTTGTGATCTTTGTGTTCCTTAATATAATCTGGTGAAGAATTTGCTCTACTGTGTAATCTATTTTAAATCCGACAGGTACAATCTGTATGGTGGAAAAATTACATCCTTGTTTGAAACCTATCGCATTTTATTATTTGCTTAATGTCTGCATTTCAGCCTCTAGAAATTACGAAATATGCCATGTGACATATAGATTCACATATGAGAACACTTAAAATTAAATACCATATTTGTCGTTTCAAAACACCTTTTTTTTCCCCATCAAAATATATCGCCGGACTCACTGCGCGCATGAATGCATGTCTTGCGCACTTCGAGTTTATATTTTTGTCAATATTCAGTTTATTTACTTCATAAACCTTCGGCGTAAAAGATACTGGGTCATTCTATGGGTAATTTTTGAAAGAACACAATAACTTACACTCAGAAAAATACTGATACATATATAGGCACACAAACATATAGGCACTATCATGTATAGTATATATAAACGGTCATGATGGGGGGGGGGGGGTT